TACAGTGTTAAAAAAAATTTTGTCACTACATAATGAGGATCCTCTTTCTCCAATTTCCAGTAAGATTTTCCTTATTTTTCTTTAAGCCCTCTCTGAGAGTCCTCTTGAAGGCCGTTTGACTCCTCCACCAGTCTCTTCAGGGCCCATTCACATTTCATCTACTGTCCCAAAGTCCCATATTTTCAGGGTTTCATTACGGCAATACCCTAACTCCTAGGTACTAAAACCTCTTCCAGTTGCTATGACTACAATATAAATTACCCTAAAACTTGGTGTTTATTATGCTTGTGGATTCTGTGAGTCAGGAACTTTTGGGGAGTAATTTTTGTCTGCTTCATAATATTTATGAGATTTGAAGGTTGAGGACTGGAATCATCTGAAGTCTTACCACTCACATGCCTGGCAGTTGATATATATAAACCATTCCCTAGGGACCTCAGTCCTTCTCTATGTAGTCTCTTTGAATGGGCTAATTTCAGTTTTCTCATAGCATGGTGGTTGGCTTCTAAGGGAGAGAATCTTGAAAAAGAGAGAGCTAGATGATAGCTGAATTGCTTTTCATGACCTAAACCTGGAAGTCACCCAGTGTTGTTTCTGCCATATTCTATTAGTTAAAATACTCATAAGATCCCCTCAAGTTCAAAGACTCCACTTCTTGATAGAGTAGTGGCAATTTGAGAAGAAATATGAAAAGTATATGGGACCAGAAATAATGCTGTGGTCATTTTGGAAAACAGGAGAAACTTAGAAAGGTACTCTTTCAATAGAGCTCCTACATAAGAATTCTATCTCAGGCTCTGCTTCGAGGGCGCTCATCTACATTAGTTTCAAGGGCTGGTGTCACAAATTACCAAGGAACTGGGGGGACAGAAATGAGATAAATTTATTGTTTCACAGTTCTGGAGGCTAGAAATTCAAGATCAAGGTATTGATAGGGTTGGTTCCTTCTTAGGGCTGTGAGGAAGAATGCCCATGCCCTTCCCCTAGCTTCTGGTGGTTTGCTGGCAATCTTTAGTGTTCCTTGGCTTGTAGATGCAACTGCTTCAATCCCTGCCTTTATCTCCACATGTGTTTATCTCTGTGTCCAAATTTCCTCTTTTTATAAAGACACCAGTATTGGATTGGGGCCCACTCTAAAGACGTCATCTTACTAATTATATCTGCAATGACCCTATTTGCAAATAAGGTCACATTCTGAGGTGCTAGGGTTAGAACTTCAATATATGAATTAACTGAACAATTAAACCCATAAGACTGACCTAAGACATAAGAGTACGTATGTTACAGTATTTATTATAAAGAATACCTGAAATAACGCATAGGAAGTTCCTGGCATTGATTAAATGATTAATAAATGTTAGTCAACATCATTATTTATCTTTGGATCCAGAGAGACTAGCACAGAGCCTATCACCTAGTGAGCAAATAGTAAAATCTTTGCCTTTTGTCTGTTGGGCATTCCATCTTTTTCTGGTAAGAACACCTTGAAACAATTCCCTTGACAGTCTTGGTGAGGCACTCATTCAAAATGTCTTGCCCTCCCTTGAATAAGAAGTGAGTGGTTGGATGACCCAAGAATGCCATTCAGACTGTCTCCCAAACGTTAAATCTCAAGTAGGACAACAAAGAGATAGAAAATAGCTATGATCACTTATGCTAACAATACTGTCACAAAAAGGATTGACCATTAGTTCCTGTCCCTTGGGTACTTAGAGCTATTGTGATTTCTATTCTTTTCACACCCTGCTGCTTAGTTTTTCTTTTAACTCTTTGTGCTACCCCACATTCTTGAGCACATTTCTTATTTTGGCTTAAGATAGCTAGAGTTTCTTTTGTTTATGGAGAAATTCAAATAGAGATTGATTCCTGAAAGCACCTCTTACAACTGACATTTGGAATGGTGATGTGAAGTTGGAAGGGTCATGGTGAGGCAGGACTCAGTGTAGATTTCCCCTTCTCTGGCTGGGAAGATGGCTAGCTTCATGAGCACATTTTATCTGGAGACTCAGGCAATGTGTCTACCCAGGCTGAAGATTTAGGAGAGTCAGTAGAAAAATGTCATCTGGTTAGATCAGTTTGGATATTTTTCAGCCTGGGATGAGTTACTATAAGTAAGAGACTACTGGCTCATCAGAAAGCAGAGAGAACAGAACTGTTAAGGAAAGCCCCTTATATCTATGGGCTATGATCAAAGAGAGTTAGTATCCAGATAATCTTGAGCTTTGCTCATTTGGCAAAGCTGAATTCTCGTCCCCAAGATAAAGTTAGTGGAAGCAAAGTCCAGGATACTGAAAACTTAAAAGGAAATAACAAGGGACCCAAGAAAAGCACTACTAAGCACCTTTTTCTGGGTCTTCATTGCCTGATAAAGTCTCCATTTAATCCCACTTTGGAACCCAACCACTGACATACATGGGATGAGGGAGCACAGATTGGTTCTGTCTTTTCTAACTCAAGCTACTGCTTGTTATTGCCCACAGGAAATGTTCAAACGGAGGCATTATAAGTAAGGGCTAGAGATAAAGGCATAGATCTAAGGCCTGTTGCTATGAGAGAGGACATTCTCTCTGTTGGATATAGATGGAGAGCCTACTAGATTTCTAAATAAATTGTATTCTTGGAAAAAATGATGACCAACCTAAGGCAGTCTCCAGGCCCCTGAACTCTTCTCTATAACCCCCACAGATGAGTCCTCCCCATTGTCCTTCTCAGATGTGACCACAGTGGACACTCCACATTGTCTCCACTACCAGAAGAGAAAGACAGAGTTAGCCACTTTGGCTACCCACAGATTTCATTCCATCACTGAAGCAGGGAGAGTTTTTATTCCTGGAAAGCAGGATGTGATCAACGCTGTTAGACAGCGACCATTCTAAGCTGATTCTTCTTCCCTTTTCTACATGGGCCTTTTTTTTTTTTTTTAAATTAAGGTATATCCTGACCTCTTTGCACCATTGTAGCTTAGGTTAAATTTGTCATTTGGCAAAGTTGCCAATATGCAGGAGATATTCTGGACCAACCTGAGATTAATGAACAGCATTAGTCAGGGTTCTACAGAGAAACAGAACCAGTAGGATATATAGAGATACATAGAAAGAGATTTATTATGAGGCACTAGCGTATGTGACTATGGAGGCTGAGAAATACCATGATCTGCTGTCTGCAAACTGGAGGCCTGGGAAAGCCAGTGGTGTAGTTCTAGTCCAAATTCAAAGGTCTGAGAACCAGAGGAGTCAAGGGTATAAGTCCCAATCCAAGTTCAAAGGCCCAAGAATCAAGAGCACTGATGTCCAAGAACAGGAGATGATGGATGTCTCAGCTCAAAGAGAGAAAGCAAATTCACTCTTCCTCTGCCTTTTTATTTTATTCAAGCCCTCAGTGTATTAGCTGATGCCCACATGCATTGGTAAGGGAGATCTTCTTTACTCAGTCTACTGATTCAAATGTTAATCTCTTCCAGAAACACACCCACAGACACATCTAGAAATAAGGTTTTACCAGCTATCTGGGGATTCCTCAGCCCAGTCAAGTTGACACATAAAATTAACCATCAAATGCACATTGCTGAGAGCCCCTAGAGCTGGGTGCAATAAGTGGCATAGAGTTCAGGAAGGGAGTTTTGGGGTATACATGGAAGAGTTGCACTATCATGAGTGGGAACACTTATGATGTTGTATGATGAGAGGAAGAGTGTGTGTTTGTGGATATTGAACTATCAGGAAGAGTACAGCAGAAAACTATTGTTTTTGCCTGCCCAGCATCCCAATTTTCCTTCATAACATTTCTTCCCCCAGGCTTGAGCCAAACAGTTCTAAAAGGGCTGAACCTATACTTCTCAGCTCAGCTGGCATGTAACCCAGACCTGAAGTGTTAATTTATTCCATCTCTCTGGCTCAATGAACGATTTAGGAAGGTTTATGCAATCCAAGTCAGATCAATAGAGTCAGCCACAGATTTTGATGGAATCATTGGGAAAGAGACACATTCTCTACACAGGGACTGCTTGGCTGATAGAAGGTAAATTTGCAGCTCTCAGGAAACAGCATGCCTCCTTTGTGGGGAGAAGGGTACTTGAGCCCAGGAAAGCAGAGTGAGAAAAAGCTAAGTCTCCTTTGCTTAGCCACTTGAGGAGGTGGGGTGGACATTTTTCTGGAGACCAGCACTTTATGAACATTCCCCCTGTGTTAGGGAGTTTCCTTCCTCCCCAAGTTAAAAGTCAGAAATCGTGCTTCCCTAGCTTCCCTTGTAGCTGGGCACAAGCATGTGACCCAGGCCCCACCAGACACTCTCATGAAACCCTCTGAGAAGAGACTAATGTGAGGGAGAAATGCCTTGTGGAAGCCATTTTTGCCAATGAGAGGGACAGCGCTGCCACTTGGCTTTCAGAGGCAAAGCTAGTGAGTTTCTGGTAACAGAGCTGGCAACAGCACTTGCCTCAGTGCTAGGAGGGAGTTGTGGGGGCAGTAGCTGTGTCCCAGGCTAGCTCTGATGCCTCTTGGCAATTCTGTGACCTACCAAATATCCTTTGATAAAATTTTTTTTTGACTGAACCAATCAATTAGATTTGTCACCTCCAACTAAAAAATCCTGATAATTATATAACAATCAATAAAAATCTATTTATAGAGATCGATAAATGAATGGCAATTCTGGGAGGTAGGCATTATTACTCCTATTGCACAGATGAAAAATAGCCCTAGGAGTATTAAGTGTATCCTGCCCAAGGTCATACAGCCAGTAAGTCCTGAAGCAGAGATTTTCATTCTAGTCTCTCTCTTTTTTTAATCTTCAAAGTTCACCTTTTTTTTAGTGTGGCATTTGAAACATGCTTTCAGAAATCATCTTGTGATGGAGAATAGATTGGCTTGCTCAGAATTCATCCCAATCTCCTTCTACTACGCCTTCCCATACTACAGAGGCTGGAAAGCTAAAACTGACATTTCCCATACTCATTTGCAACTAGGAATATGACTGAGCCTCCACCAATTAAATGTACTTACGTGAAAAGTGAATTTAGAACTGAGTCAAATAGGAGGGAAGGCAGGCCTTCATCCTGATGGTGCGAATCAGGTACACAAAGTTTGGCACCAACAACTGAGGCTGCAACTTTCTGATTCCTGAATTGGCAAAAGTAGTGAGATCTTGAAGCTGGCAGGTGGAACATGGGCTTCTTGATTACCCAGCTTCCTGAATGTTGAAGAGATAGACAGGTCAGCTCTGTGGTAGTCTTCTGAAAGTCATTCCTGGAAGCCCAGCCTAGAGCCTATTCCTCTAGCCCTTCTAATTGTGAGCATCCGATTGCTTGCCTCCAATCCTTTTCTGTTTAACTACTAGACTGGCTCCTATTATCTGTTTCTGAATCCTGTCTAATACAAGCACATATAGAAGTCAAGTACATCATAAGTAAGCAGCACTGAATACAGATTCTCATCTTTTCTCAGAGTCACAACTATAGGGGAAAATACATATTCAAAGTGAATTGAAATATTGAAATAAAAAGCACCATGGCCTTTCAATATTGCCATATTGTATCTCAAAAAACTGAGTGTATCAGTCAAGATACAGGATGGCAATAGATGGTTCATTCAGACTTGAATAAAGACCAATTTTTAAAGATATGCACAGAGCATAGAGAACCACAGGGTTATGCACCGCCCCTAGACCCGAAGTAGCAAGAGGAAAGAGTCTGTTATAGACTGAATGTTTGTGGTTCCCCAAAATTCATAGTGTTGCAATTCTAATGCCCAATATGATGATATTAGAGGTGGAGCATTTGGGAAGTAATTAGGTCATGAGGGTGGAGTCCTTGTGAATGGAATTGGTGCCCTTATAAAAGAGACCCCAGAGAGCTCTCTCGCCCTTTTTCCATCACATGAGGGTACAGCAAGAAGTCAGCAGTCTACAACCAGGGAGTGGATTCTCATCAGACACCAAATCTGTCAGCACACTGATCTCAGATTTCCAGGCTCCAGACCTGGAAGAAATAAATTTCTGTCATTCATAAGTCACCTAGTCTCTGGCATATTGTTACTGCAGCCCAAACAGACTAAGAGTTAGGTAGCGAGGATGCCTTCCAAGAGCTGTGACCTTGGTTGAGGGATGAAACTAGCTCACGGCGACCTCACAGGCAGGGAGCAGGGAGGGGGCAACCTCACACGCTGCCCTCCTTTCATCTTTCTGCCCATTCACTGAATCCACCTGCAAGTCAGAGGACAAGAGCCTGTGTTGTAGTCCTCACAGTACAACCTTCCATGTGGAGAACAATGGAGAGTCCATCAGAGGAGCAAATGAGAGACATCCAGTCCAGTGCAGCAAGTAAAAAATCATCAACACCCAGGGCAGTAAGAGATCATGAAGATTGTGGGTCAGAGTGTTTCGGTGCTACTGAATTTTTTAATGCTCACAGGTTGAGTGTATTCTTTCTTTTTAAAGATGGTCAATATAATCTGCTCTACATGATTTGAAGGCATTTTACTCCAGTTCCCACAGAGTGTCATACAGTGTGAGAAGTGGAAGGCACCTTAGAGATCTTGATGAACATTTCTCATTTCATAGAGAAATGAGTTTTCCTCAGACTTAGAGAAATGAAATAAAAGTCCTCCAAAGTCACATATCCAGAAACTTGCAGAACCAGGTGGCACACCCAAATCTAATGATGCCCAGTGCAGGGGGGCTTCTTCCACATTCTGCAGCTACAATCCTTGCTGGACACAAGTTATGCTCATGACAAAGTGCCAGGCTGTGATGTGGCCACAGTCTCAGTCTTGAGCATCCCTCTGCATTGGTTTTATTTTTCTCTTCATTTTGAACATTTACCTGAAAGGCTGAATTTCAAAGACACTTCTAAAAATAACTAAAAGATATGCAGGAGGAAATTAGCATAATGTATTTTATCTATAATTTACAGTGTGTAATCTAGAAACGTGCAACAAAGCAATGCTAGTAGTGCAGAGAAAATTCCCCTGGGATATTTGGTTCCATTTAAAAACACCTCAGTATGGGGGGATGTGGGAGCAGCAGCCTGTGACACACTTCCATCAGGGCAAAATGTTATTCTAGTGATTCACAGCGAGAGGCCTGACAAACACTTTGAGTCGATATAAAGGTTCTTGCCATCAGGATAAAATGAGAATTGCAGTGGGTGGTCCCATTCTAGCCTCATGTCTCCTTCTACTTCTGTCCTGGCTTAGGTGGTTGCCCTGGAAACAGTAGGGTGGCAAACAAAACCATTTGGAACAACTTTTAGGGAGCCTTATGCATGAAGGCCTAATTTTTATTTGCTGCTGTCTTTTTTCTCTTCTTAAAGGGTGACTTTTCCAAGGCTATCATTCTCTGAGAGGGTGTGCTCTTTGGACTACCTTGGAAGGTGATTCACTCTAAAGTCTTTGGCAAAGTCCAGTTGGAGGGCTGGCCAGAGTTTGGCAGATAGCAGGGGAAGGGGGCTTTATTTCTCATTATTCAGCTTTGGATCCCAACACAGATGGTCCTGATCTCCTCCTCCCCCACCTAAGAATTTTTCTAAAATGACACCCAAGTTTTTCTTGGCAGAAGTTATAATTCCTGGCAAACAGTTCATGCAGCTCTAATTATGATGACAGCTTTAATGGAGAAGATAATCATATTAAATGGTTCTTATTCAGTTCCATGTGATGAATTAGTGATTACCATGAAATGTGTTAAGCAGCCAAAAGTCAGGGAAAGGGATGATGTACTGAGCTACAAGTTGAGGTCTGAGGGATTCCAAAACTTGTGGGAGGTAGCACAAAATGACCTTTAAAGAGGAGATGCTGATTTTAATGTCTCTTGTGGCTCATATACTGAGTAAGAAACCCCCTTTTCCTAATGTGTCTGTTAAAGAAAAAATTATTCTGACACTTGTTAAAATGGCAAGTCTCCTTTACCAGGAGACTTTATTCAAGACTATTGCAATAGAAGCTGATTCTATTGCAATAGGAGAGAGATCAGATTCAACTCCCAATACAACAAAGACAAGCGGGCATTTATTAGACAAAGTGCAGAGTTGGGGGGGGTCAGTGGATAGAAAACTACCGATAGGAGGCATCAAGAGCACAGGGATTCTTTTTTAAGAGGATTCCTGCAAAAGGCTGGTCATGGACTTATACATCAACAGTGAGGGATGAGGGACTTGACCAGACTTGGGGGGGTGGGAGGGGGTGAGGTGGTTAGATATCAATGCTGGGGGTATTCTTGATAAACTTATTTAGCAGGATTCTTGTTAAAACTGGACTAGGCATGCCAAAGAAGGAGAGGGCCAAGATTGAAGCCTGAAAGTCTTTGTCAGTCCCTCCTCCTGATCAAGGAAGAGAGACATTCTTCTTTCCTCTGAACAATTTAAGTCCATTTCTTGCTCAGTCTCTTTTTGTTATAAGGACCAGCTGAACCATCTGCTGGGACTTGGGAGTAGAGGATATTTACTGGAGAGTGCAAATAATCAGGCATTAAATGTGGGAAATTTCTATGAAAATAAAAGAAAAATAAAGATTAAGGCTGAAGCAGACTATAAACCCAGTTTCTGAGTCCAAGGGGCAGCCAGTTGAGATTTCTAGATGCTGGGCTCGAAGCATCTTTAGGTGGTGAAATGAGGGTACGGTGATGATCTGGTAGATTTCTTAGGCTGCAGTTTGAATGTCTTGTGATGGTATAATATCAGGGTCATGGTTATTTCCCAGAGCAGAGCATGGAAGAAGTGGCACTTTTTATAAACTTCCTGAATGGCCTCCACAGCTGGAGCTCCAGGCTTAAAGGTTACCCATTATCCAGTGTCAGCTTGCAGGACAACCTAAGATCCCAGGAAGGATCCAGGCAGTCAGGTTTGAGTTCTTAGTGACACCAAGATAGCAGGTGGGAGAAAAATTGGAAACATTCCTTTGGACAGTTGTATAGCCAGATACTGGAGAAAATTAGGAGAACTGAGTATTTGGGAGGGACTAACAAAATGTGCAAGTTGGCAGGACTCAGTCCAGTCTGTAAGTATATAACAAAACCTCAAAGACAATCACTGGGACTAGAAGCTGATAGTCCACAAAGTTGTGCTATAGTTTTCATTGTAACATAAAATTTCTCTCTACACTCACCCTTTTTTTCACCAAAGTTAACCAAAGTAAGATTATTCTTGTTTACAAAATGAGTCTGGTCACATTAGATTCGGCCTATTATTTACATAAGTGTAGCAAGAAGAGTAACTGACCACATAGACCTTTGAAAGTTTGCTTTGCTGGAACTTTTCATAAAGAAACTCAAATTAGACTTTTAATAGTCTCTCAAGGCTAGGAAGCCAAGACAAGAATTTGCCACCAGATTTCACTTGCAGGATCTATAGATTTGGGGGAATTTCTCCGTGCTCTAGGTCCCCAAAATATCCTAAGCTTCCTGGGCCTGCCAGGAAGTAACCTTCCTTACTCACCGACAAAGCTGCGAACCCTGTAAGCCATACCAGCCCAGTTTTCCCAAAAGGGCTTTGTAAGCATCATCTCCATAAAGTCAGCCTTAGTTCCTTGAAACTATTTGGTCATAACTGATTCTATGCACATCAGTCTTAAATATGACATTCCACTCAGCCTCAGTTATATAACCAATGTTTCCAACTATGTCCTGTTCAAGGAGGAGAGATTCTTATTGGAACTTATGCAAATAATTATAGCACCATGAAAATAAGAATACTCAGGTAAGAGTTTCTGAATTCTGGAGTAATCAGGCAGGGAGAAAAGATAAATGTTTCATTTCTGTTTACAAAAAATATTATCTACCAAATTGTTGTGAGCTATAACTTAAAAGAAAAGAAAAAGGAATTCCTTAAATCCAGCAGCAATCTTCCAAACAAAAACCATAATCACCCTTCATCAGTTCATTCAGTTTTATGTAATTTATTCTTGTTCTGCTTGGTCTTGAGTTAGCAGTTTTATGAACCCATCAGTTTCTCCACCAAAGTTCTAGGCTGCTTTCTCAGTCAAATGGTATGGTCTTAAAGTAATTTAAGCACTGACATCAGAAGCCTACATCCCTGAGACCTGTTTTAGTCCTTTGCATGGGTCTCTTTCCATTCCTTTTTGTTAAAGATAAAGCACCCTGGCCTACAGCTAATTGCAAGTGCTTTCAGAGAAGACTCAGAGTAAAACAAAAACTGTCTACTAATGACAAAAGATTTTAAATGGCTAAAGATCTGAGGAGAATTCATCATAAAAATGATGCAATTGATAAGGGAATTTGGTTATTTCTGTGGTTTAGAACATTTAAAATAATAACTAGAATTATGACTGGTAACATTATACCAGAACATATCACGGACAGTGAGGGTATTGACAAACTTCATACAATTTCTGAAATGTTTGTATTAGTAATATTTTATCCATACAAATAAAACCTAGAGAAGGTTAAAGTATCTTTTATTTGACAATACTTTTCATGCAACTGAACATACCTAAACCTAATTGTTTCTTGGCATCTCTCTTTTTCAAAATAAAAGAAAAAAATCCTTTAAGATTTTGAAAGAGCCATCTGAGAAATCTCAAGTTCAGTTCAAGATCAAGATTTCATTTAGGATTTGATTCTGGGAGGACAAAATTGTCCAAAAGATCAAAAGGTTTGAATACTCGACTAAAAACAATCCCAGGTTACTATGAACAATACTTAGCTACCTATTTAGCCAAAGTTACAAGAAAAGAATTCAAAAGTAAATAGAGGACAGAACATGACTGTGAAAGTTTTTAAAAGTTAGCAGTTTTAGAAGTGAGAAGACTTGGGGATGCCTGGGTGGCTCAGTTGGTTAAGCGGCTGCCTTTGGCTCAGGTCATGACCTCAGGGTCCTAGAATGGATCCCTGCTTTGGACTCCATGCTCAGCGGGGAGTCTGCTTCTCCCTCTCCCTCTGCCCCTCTGCCTGCTTATGCTCTCTCTCTCTCAAATAAATAAATAAAATCTTTTAAAAAATTATCTCAATATTTAATGAATATTTGACATAGCATATCTCTAAGGTTGGAAGTTACAAAAAAGATTTTGGAAATTGTTTTTAGGCAAATATAACATTAGACAAAGCTAGCCCTCATCTCAAGTTATTTCCCTGTTAACTATTTTGTACAGTACATGCATGTTAGGCAAGTATCAAAAAAAAAAAAAAGAAATCACAAAAGCAAAGAAATCTAAAAATGGTTAAATACCAAATGCATACTTGTATTATACTTAATACTGATAACTCAGAAGACAGAGCTGTTCTTATTAAACAGTATTAAATTAGTCTTATTTACCAAAGATTTTCCCAAGCCACATAAACTTGAAAAGCATTTGGGTTAATTTCTATATTTCTGAGAGATTTAGGAATATTTAATTTATATAAGCACTTATTTATCTCTAAGCCAATTTATGAAACTTCTTCACAAGATTTTATAAATTTTTTTGGTAATACCATCTAGACATAGAAAAATATCACATATATATAACATACATATACAAACATAACTATATAATCATAAAGACAGATGCAAATAGAGATCCTGCTGCTTTCATTCTAACACTGTAGCCATGAGGGATGCCTAGGTGGCTCAGTTGGTTAATCATCTACCTGTGGCTCAGGTCATGATCCCAGGGTCCTGGGATCAAGCCCTGCATCAGGCTCCTTGCTCAGCAGGGAGCCTGCTTCTCCCTCTGCCTGCCATTATCCCTGCTTGTGCTCTCTCTCTCTCTCTGACAAATAAATAAATACAATCTTAAAAAAATAAAATAAAATTGTAGCCATGAGTCAGGTAAACATAGCAATAAAAAACTCACTGGTTTATATAAAATAATTGGCTCTTGTTTTTGATCCACTTTATATTTTTATCCCAAATTGTGTTTCTGACAGATGGAACAAGTTAAGGTTACCTGCTCAATTGACAGTTAATGCTTTTTATCAATATTTGTGGAGGAAACTTTTAAGATTTTGTTTTGCCCTGCACGTAGTTTCTTTGGGTGGTCCCTGGGTCTCCTGAGAGCCCCCAGTGGAGGACGGGGGACGTAAAGTTCAAAGTTCAAGTGACTGGAAGAAATTGAGGGGCTAGAATGGGAAAGAGAAAGTCTTGCAGGGGTGGACAGAGAGATGGAAGAGGTAGGGGCTTGAAGCCAGTCCTATCAATGGATTCAAAAGAATGGAGGACTGGAGGTGGTAAAAAGAAGAAGGAGGAATGGAAACAGTGCTGAGAGAGAAATCTTAGACAAACCAGTTTGGGGAAGTCATTGAAGTTCCCAATTATCCTTTGTAAAATTAGTCCAACAAAAAAGGAAGTAGAGAGCTAGTGCCATGGTGGTGGGACATATAGACATCAGGGGTATGAGAAGGTGGTTTCAGTCTATAGAGAAGATCCCTTGTTCTTCACTCATGATACCTTGCTAACAAAGAAGCCTGGGACTCTAACCCAGTCTCCATTTGCCTGGGACTCTAACAGAGTTTTTAGAGTAGAGGCCTCCAAAAGAGTCAGGAATTTGCCACTTCAAGAGTCAGGGAGTAAATTCCCACTCAGAAAGATCCAAGAAGACATCCATCCAGAAAGATGCTTGCTTAAACAGGCACTTTTCAACCAAAGAATCCTGGGACTCTAACCTAGCCTCAGAGGGTATACTCAGAATCTTAAGAATCAAAATCTGCCCTTACCATGCTTTAACAGTCTGTCATCCAGAGCAGTGGTTCAGGAGTTGTACTCACCATTGGATCCCTAATCAGTCAAGAGTGAAACAAAGTCTTTAGATGTGTATACTTGAGGTCCTGGAGGAGAGGTTCCAGGGGTCCAATGATGAATTTAATTCTGTACCAAGTCATGGCACCATAACTGTAAAAGAAAAGAATTATTCAGACACTTATTAAAATGGTAAGCAAGGGGTGCCTGGGTAGCTCAGTCAGTTGAGCATCTGACTCTTGATCTTGGCTCACATCTTGATCTCAGGATCATGAGTTCAAGCCCTGTATTGGGCTCCCCACTGGGCATGGAGCCTACTTAAAAAATAAAAATACATAGGGGTGCCTGGGTGACTCAGTCGTTAAGCGTCTGCCTTCGGCTCAGGTCATGATCCCGGGGTCCTGGGATCGAGCCCTGCGTCAGGCTCCCTGCTCAGCGGGAAGCCTGCTTCTCCCTCTCCCACTCCCCCTGCTTGTGTTCCCTCTCTCGCTGTGTCTCTCTCTGTCAAATAAATAAATAAAATCTTTTAAAAAATAATAATAAATAAATAACTAAATAAATAGGGGCACCTGGGTGGCTCAGTCATTAAGCGTCTGCCTTCGGCTCAGGTCATGATCCCGGGGTGCTGGGATCGAGCCCCACATTGGGCTCCTTGTTCAGCGGGAGCCCTGCTCTCCCTCTCCCACTCCCTCTGCTTGTGTTCCCTCTCTCTCTGTGTCAAATAAATAAATAAAAAATATTTAATAAATAAATAAATAAAATGGCAAGGAAGACTTTATTCAGGACAATTGCAATAAATGCACTGTAGTAGGGGAGAGATTACAGCAAAGACAACAGGGGATTTATAGCCAATAGGCAGAGTGAAGGGGTCAGTGGATGGAAAATTACTAAGAGGAGATTCAAGGGTAAGGGGATTCTTACTAAACGAACTTGATAGCATTCTTGCTAAAACTGGGATAAGGATGGGGACCAAGGTGGAGACCTCATAGAGAAAAGGGCTCAGAGAAGCCTGACTGAACTATGGTCAAAGAGAAAGTACGTCATGTCCACCACTAATACACATACTTTTACAGACAAAGGTAATGGAAAGGAAGGAAGGAAAGAAGGAAGAAAAGGCTTATAAAAGTGCCTTCTTAACTCAGACTATTTTGAGTGCTACCACATATTTGTTTGTGGGTGAGAAATTTGATCTTTCTCAATAGCCAAAAGATATTTAGGGCCAAGTCTTTAAAAATAAGGAGGGGATCAAATCGAGTTAACAGAGTTACAACTACAAAGCAATGAGCTGGCTTTTCTTGTGTGTGGTTTACAAATAGGTTGACCAAACTCGACCCCTTTTGCCTGGCACTCTCCCAGTTTGAGGACTGAAATCTCCCTCAGTTCCAGGTAAGCCAGGGAAGTTGACCTAAGGCTACTCAGTTTTAAAACTCAAGGTCCCACATCCTGAGAAACCCTTCAGTGCCAGACAAACTGAGACGGTTCATCATCCTGTGTGTAAAGAGAGCTCTGAAGGTACTTCAACAACAAGAAGTTCTGAAAGCATTTTCAGTCATGGCACATGACAAACTGGATGTCTGGCTTTCAATGTAAGGATTGGGTTTTGTTTGTTTGTTTGTTTTTAAGATTTTATTTATTTATTTGAGAGACAGCGAGAGAGCAGGAGCAGAGGGGAGGAGCAGATGGAGAGGGAGAAGCAGGCTCCCCACTGAACAGGGAACCCGATGCCGGGCTCGATCCCAGGACCCTGGGATCATGACCTGAGCCAAAGGCAGATGCTTAACTGACTGAGCCACCCAGGTGCCCCAGGAGTGTTTAAAAAAAAAAAAAAAGCCTCATTTGTTTAGTCACATATTATATAGGAAAATAAATATTCACCCTGATTCCTATTTAGTTAAAAGTATGTTTACTTAGCTACTTAAATGCAAATAAAAGCCCAAGAACCTCTCCACAAATGCTTGGCTGAACAAAGCTTGTTTACCAAATTAAAATACTTGTGTACAATTATGCATGTTTTCTTTTTAAATTAATATATCTCTTTATGTTTTGCTGCAAAATTCCTACTAGAAAAAAAGACATTCAAATTTGCTATTCATTCATCTGTTCAGCTACAGTAACTATAGTCGTTAGGTGTGGGAACCAAAGTGTGTGTACATGTGTGTGGTCTTCCATGGGGAAGAGACCTTCTTTACCCTTGTTGTCTCCAAACTCTAATTTATCTGTACTTTCACTCATTTTCCCAAAGGGTGTGTTGTTCCTTTAGAAGGCTTTTTTTTGGTGGGAGAATGCTAGAGGTGGATAAAGAGGATTAGATGATAGCAAAATCTTGCTCAGAAAGCTCTGTTGTTGCTGTTCTGCTCTGATTAGTAAAAAACACCTTAGAGTGACATTAGTTTATCCTTTCAAAATCTACCTTATATGCTTTCTATATGTTTTCCCATTTGTGTGAGGACCTCTCTCCCTAACAAGTGGTGGTCAGGAAAGCTGGGAGGGGATGTGGTAGCTGGGACCCTGTCACTTGTCTAAGGGTCCCTGGAGCTGAAGAGGAAGAGATTCCAGAGGAAGCAACTTAGAGAGAGGCTGAATTAAAAACTACTTAATGCCAAAGCATCTAAATATGAGGACAAACTGGGAAAACCACTGAAAACGAGGAGGTTAGAAATAGAGTGTGCAAGCAGAAACGAAAAATTAAGGTAGCTGCCTGATGGCAGTGGACATTTTAACCAGGACTTGCTCTTCTTCCACTCTGCATTCTACTAGACTCCATTGTCCAGTGTGGGTGACTACAAAGACTTACCTGTTCAGGGTTCTGAGTGTGGGGGAGGGAATTTCCTGTGTTTGGTTCTCTAACTTGCTTCCCTTCTCATGGTCAAAGTACCAGAGCTGGCTGTGGTACTGCTGGGAATCCAGAACCTTTCAAAAGATTTTTGGGTCTTCCAGCTTGGTTGTCAGGGTAAACTGATGGAGTTCTGCGTTGAAGGCAGGGTGTGTGGGAGCTGGGCTAGTGGAGCTGGTGGAAAGAGACCATCTCTCCTTTTACTATTGAAAGGAGCAACCAGAAGACAGCTAGGACAATTTCACATCATCACAGTTACTAATTTGTAATACTAATACTGTCTCAGGCTTCCTCCTACATTCCTGCTTGGCTTCTTCTTAGTCTGCTGGCTTCTCCTGCTCATTCCTGATTTTTAACTCTGTCTAAACCTCTTCTGTTCTTTAAATATGTTCACTCATTTTGGAGGAGATTTATCTAGTCCCATGGCTTTCATTTCCTTCTCCCTGTCAATAATTCCCAGATCTATATATTCTTCAGTCCTGATATTTCCCCTGAGCTCCAGACTTAACAAACATATCATGCCACCTACTTGACATTTCCATTAGATGTCTAAGTAGAATTTCAAGTCGAACATTTTTTTTATTTTTTTATTACTTATTTATTTATATATTTGAGCGAGAGAGAGAGAGAAACAGCAACAGCATGAGAGGGGAGAGGGTCAGGGGAGAAGCAGGCTCCCCGCTGAACCAGGAGCCCGATGTGGGACTTGATCCCAGGACTCTGGGATCATGACCTGAGCCGAAGGCAGTCACTGAACCAACTGAGCCACCCAAGCACCCTTGAACATTTTTTTTAAATAGAACTGGATTTTATCTCCCAAACCTGTTCTCCCACAGTTTCCTCCACTGCAGCTACTGGCTTTACCATTCATCTATGCTATGGTCTGAATGTGTCCCCGCAAAACTCATATGTCAAATCCTAACCCCCAAAACTGATGGTATTAGTGGGTGAGGCCTTTAGGAGGTGCTTAAAAACACTGATGAATGGGAATAGTGCCATTATAAAAGAGCTCCAGAGACATCCCTAACCCCTTCCACCATGCGAGGACACAGCGAGAAGGGCTGGCTATGACCGTGGGGCCCAGGAAGAGGGCCCTCACCAGAAGGTAACCAGGCTGGTGCCATGATCCGGACTTCCAGACTCCTGGACTATGAGCAATAAGTTGTTGTTGTGTAAAGATACCCATTCTGTGGTATTTTGTTATAGAAGCCTGAATGGACTAAGAAAATACAATACCTCAGAATGTAAACTTAAAGCCCATTCTTAACCACTTTATTCTCCTTACACCTAGATATCATACAAATCCAATTGTGTGGGTCCCTATATGTGCCTGATGGCTAGGGCTGGGTGTCCTCAGAATTCCCAGCCAGATGATTTCCAGGATTAGTGCTATAAGTCTTCACTCATGGTTCTATGCTTTCCAGGATTGGGTATGAAATGGTAAACCCAAAGTGCTTGAAAAAGATGACACTGATGCAAACTGAGTCTCTGCATTTATCTTAGCCACTTTAGTCTCTATGACAAGTGATCTTTGTTCCCAAGAAGGATGAGCAATTGAATTTTTCCAATAGCCAATTTCCCAGGGAAGGAAGTGGAGGCATGAGGGTTGGGTCCTCTTGGGGTCTAATGTTTCCAGTTTGAATGGTTGGAGACATTCATATGGGTTGGGCCAGGTCAGGTAGGCTAGTGGAAGGTTGGAGGAATTAAGCAAGGCTTATTGGAAAGCTGCATCTCCCTCTGAGGATGAAAAAAGGCCTCTTTCCCTTTTGAAAGTATGTTATTCCAACAGTCAAGGAAAAGAAATGTGTAATGAATTTTGTAATAAATCCCAGGAATTGCTAAATATATGTAATGAACCATGTGGGCTCTTACTGTAGGACCATGAACACTTGAAGCACAATGCAGATGTCTTGGCTGTACAGAATACAACCCAGAAATTCCTCCATTTTCTTGAACATGTACTTTTCAGCATTGGCCTGCAGGTGGGGCTGTAGCCCACAGAGGGACTACATGTTCTACAGTATGGCAAGGGACTGATGGGATGTTAGATCCAGATAAGTAATTAGGGTATTGCCCAAGTAGATCTTGCCTCCTTGATTCCAGATGTGATTCATTCAGCACAAGAAGATGACTAAGGCACTGCACAGTCCAAATGACACCATAATCTGACAGAGTGAGCCTCTCCCATTGTTCTCAAAGCTTTTGGACCAGTACACGGAAGTATCTACAACCTCCTCCATGTCCAGGTAGGTGATAAGAGAAAAACTGCCTTCTGGATAAGCCCCAATGAACTGCCCATGTGAAGTTGCTAGTGCCTTTG